TTGGTCAAATATGACATCATTACTATAACGACGGTCTTTGTTTCAAAAAGAAATTAACCAACAAAGCTGCCCTGAATCAGAAGGAGATTTGCTTTTTGTTTCTTTACAATGCAAATTGCCTGGAGAAGTTACTGAACATTAAAAAACAGACATTGGGCACTAACATTCACACAACCTTATTCAAACACACCCCTGGTGTTCATTCAACACCTCAAGATCATACAGTAGCTTTTATTTACTAGCAGATTAAACATGATGTAGTCACACCAGATGTGTTCAGAAACTGTATAGCAGAACAGCTCATTTTTATCTATTCCATATAATGATATACAGGTGAAATAATGATGGATACTGGGTGCCACCTAGGCAGAATCATGAAGCCAAAGCTCTTGCAAAATTAATGGAATTCTTGCTATCCACTGAATTAAAATTACATTTGATATGTGCAGGTATGAGGTATGATGAAAAAGTACTGTTAGATGGTAACATTTATTCTTTAATTCCTTACACTTCCTAAATTTTGCACACTTGTGAAAGTAGTATACCTCATAGATATGCTTCTAGACTTGAAACATTTCTATAGGAGTTGCCTTATATCAGAACAGATCCATAGGTTTATAAATTTAGTTATCAGTAAGTGAGACAGAATCAAAATTGTTGTTACCAGGTAAGATCTTCATAAAGTGCGGAAAATAGAATATAGGTTAAGAGTAATTACTTCTCCATCTTAAAACTGTCATTGGGATAGTTTATACATACAGACATATATGTGTATATAGATATATGTGTGTATATATGTGTATATCATATGTATATGTATATGTGTTTATGTATCCATATACATATATGCCTCAAAAGATTTAGAACTGTAAGAAATTTTTGATGTTATCTAGTCCAATCCTGTTAATTTCCAGGTGGGGAGACTAGAATGGGAAAAATAAAATGACTTGCTCATGTATGTGAAAGAGCCAGGATTGAAACACCATACATCCAGCTCCAGTCACTTGCTCCTTCTACATTTACCACACTGGGTCTTTTTTTATGCAGGACCCAGAAAACACAGCCAAATTAAACTGAATCAAATATTCCATGGGTCTGATACAACATGAGCAATCTACTGAGCTCCATAGACACAGCAGTCTTTGAGAATCCATCAAAACCTTCTCCAAAGCTATAGGAAGCTGGATTCAACAATAGTTCATAGAAATAATTTTACTGTTCTTGTTGCAAGCAAGTAAGCACAGGCTAATTTTCACCTGGATTCCTGTGAAGAAAACAATAGTTGCGGAGGACCAGAATACACTTTTCCAGGGAGTTTGTTTCCAAGAAACCTAGTTCATACTATAGAAATGGAATGTTCTTTAACATAATTTAATTGACCATCTATCCTTTAAAAAAAAAGACTCATAACTTTTTTTCCAGGTTTAAGGATATGACATTGTTTTATGATTTTTAAGAGTTATTATCAGTTTAGATAATAAGAATTTAAATACCTCTGAAGAATCACAATAATAATAACTAATGTATTTCTCTGCCTTTACCCTTTTTGCTTTAGATTTCTGATTTCTTGTCAAAGTCAGATGGTAGAATGCAAAATGATTTAGCAGCCAGAACACCTGGGTTACCATATGATACCCAACCCTTACATGACATGAGACAAGTCACCAAGTCTTTGGATGTCAATTTTCTCATCTGTAAAATTAAGAAATGGGCTAGATGGTGTGTGAGTTTCCTCCCATCTATCTCTGGTTCTGGTTGTCCTTAAGAAAGTACATTATAGCAGTGATGTGAGATTTAAAATGCCTCCTTTATTATTTTCTAGAAATTAAAAACAAATAACTCTGAATGTTAGATATGTGATCAATTGGCGATTAGGACAAAACTCCAAAATTAAAAATCCTTCTATTGGTATAATGTATCAGCAGAGATAAAAAATGATATTCATTTAAAAAGTCTTATTCCATTTTTAAAGGAAAAGTTCACTATCATGAAGATAAAAATCCTTTCTATTTTATTATATGGAGTTCTTTGTAAAAGGATTATCTGTTCTTGAGACCAAAGGGAATCTAGTCCAAATAAAATGCTCTGAAATTTGACTTTAAAATGTGAATGTGTATGAGGTACAAGATCATAGAACTCTTTTTAAACAATTTACTGGTCATTATATAACTGGATTCCATTTGAAGTTCAAAGGGTATGACTTCAGTTGTTCTGGAAGGATTGCATGTTAATGTTACCTTTCTTTTTCAGGTCCCCACCCCTTTGGCATGGGTCCCTAGACTTAAAGACCTTTTGAAAATGAATCATGACCATTGATTCTGAATGTTTGATTTCACCAAGAAGCCTATTTTTAGCTTTATGCTATTATTCAGTGGTGTTAGATGACATAAAAATATCTTGTAGCCTAATACCTAGCATTATGGACTAGTCTAAAATACCTGTTTATTTTTATTTGAGTCATACACATTTCTAAATAAATGAGAAGTAGGAGTAAATTAAACATAATTTCAAGTCAATCCAGTTATCAGTGTGGTTTCTTTATCTGTCAGTCTTCTCTGATATGTTTAAAATGCAATTTTGTTTCTAACCACACCCCAATTTGGCCATAAATGGTCTACCAAGTATTTAAATCCCAGTGGCAAGATATGAAAAGTAAAAAGAAAACAATCAGGTACTATGCCACAGGATTATTATGCAATTAAACATCCAAAAAATGACCTATTTTCTTGGTAATATATACGATATTTTAATGCAATGAGCACTAATAGGGAGAACTGGCTGTAAAAAAAAAAAAGAGGTTTTGAATTCACACTCTCCCCAATGTGGAGAGAATTATGACATGCAGAGACACCATGTCCTGTGCAAATCCAGGCCATGTAGTCTAGAAAGAGGGTTGTCAGATGACAGGTGGTTAGGGGTAAGAGAAGAGGCAAATAAACTTCAGTAAGCAAAATCCACACTTCCTTTGGCTGGCAGTTATGCTACAGGGGATACTTCTAAATTTTCTAATCACTTAGAATTGATCAGATCATTATCCTGGTGAAGAAGACTTCTGTGAGTAAAAAAAGAATCCTTATAGTTGTTATTAATTATCTTCCCTGTTTATGACGTATCATGTACTTGGTTGTAATGAATGGAAATTGCTTGTTGCAGAAATCATTGATAATCCTGATTGTCCTAGTCCTAAAATAGCATCATCTTTTCCTTTATGGGATGTGCAAGTTGAAGAATTTAGGACAATAGTAGTGTTGAAAAGCTTATGGAAGAGCTTCTTAAAAGAGCCCTGCATCTTATGCTTCTTTTGTACTGCACTGAGAGCTTCCTTTTCTGTCTGAACTACCTATCTACCTCAAGTTGCTATTTGTATTTCCATTTAATGAAAGGAGCACCGTCAGAAAGTCTCCACAGGCAAAGGAATGTACAGAATTATAAAACACATGTGCATAGCTGCACAAATATACTAGGAAAAATCTACCTTTTTCTCCATAATTCTCTAGTTTCCTATATCTCCTGGCCTACTGATAGCCAATGCAATTTTATACATAAAGACTTTCAGAACAACAGAAGGGAGTAGGTATTGAGCTAATGTTTTCAGGCCCATATTTAATAATGTGTAAAATACGAGTGCAATGGAGGGTATTTAGGCTTCTATTACTGTCCTACGCTGATTCCTCACTGCAATGTGGAGGTGACTCTTGTTCTCTTTTTCAGTGGTCTCCGTGGTGCTCATCTAGCCTAGCCCACATAAGTTTCAAAAGGCTTATTACTCAAAGGTTGACAACCAGGTGATTTTTGCGGTTGTTGTTGTTGCAAGTTATTAAAAAGTTACCCCCAGTGATGTGGATTTCTTGAGGGATAGGAATGTTTCATTTTTGTCTTTGTATTCCTAGAAGCCAGTACAGTGCTCTCCCATTGCAGATGCTAAATAAATGTTTTGTGAATTGATTTGCCTTGTATTAACTAAAGTATTGAGGGGTTTTGACCAGTATCATTAGAGAGAACCTAGCAAAAACGCCATCAGTTATGAATTCTTTATGAGTAATATTTGGAAACGTTAAAAATGGAACGTTCCTGTGGCTTTACCAGTAGTAGAAGTGCATGACAATGGAATTTTGATGCTCCTCTATTTCCTTTTATAAGAATTCATATTAAAAAAGGAACAGTGACCTCTATGAAACCTTGCAATGCTAGAGAATTCAAAAGCGCGAGTTAGAATTCAATCTCTAATCTACCACGCTGAGTTTCTGTACTGCACTACTGGGAGGCCACAGTATGCAAAGCTTGGAGCAAAATGTCCAGATGGTTTCAGTGTTCCCACATTTAGACACAAAAGCCAGTGATCAAAAGCTAAGTTTTAGACATCAACTCTGGCTAGTTCTTTGGGGTTTTACTTAACTTTGAAGTGATGGGGATAACTGGAGCTTGGATAATTCACTCTTACCTGCTATGATCCCTGTGACACAGGTTTATCAGCTTCTTTTCCACATCTTGCGGTTAATTTAATTTTAATTTTTAAAAGGTTTTTGCTGTTCAAATTTGATTTGTTAAAACCAAGAACTAAGGATTTAAATGTTTTATAATTTCTTATTTTTTCTGGGCTAGAACATGAAACATTCATCATATATAGTGAATTTACTGCTCAGGTACCTCACTAATTTAATACTCTGCTGAGTCTTAAAAATAAAATAAAATATGAAATAGTAAATAATAGTCACTCCAAGTTCCCATGAAGGACAATTAGAAATAGAGAAAGTTTACAAAACAATCAACATAATCTATTCTTCACAAAATTACTTTTGTAATTTTGTGTAGTATGTCCCTTTTCAAGCAATATTTTGTGATATCACTACAGCAACCAAAAATAGAAATTAAAATAATCCAAACAAACCCTGTTAGATGAATTTCAAAAGGGATACATACATATATATATATATATATATATATATATATATATATATATATATATACCCACACTCAGTGTGGTATTTAGGTATTTATAATAGCATCTATGATCTTTATAGCTTCTAAAGTGTGCTTCCTTTGAACAGATATAAAAATTTCATAGGGGGATACAGCAAATCTGCCCAGAGCAGGGGAAACAAATATAAAACCCCATGCGTGGTCATAGCAAAGGGCTTTTAAGTTTTTCATTTCCCAAGTGAATAATGACTTCACCTGACTGAAATTATAGATAAAAGTGTCAATGGTCTTAAGGAAACACAGTGACACTCTTCTGACTTCAGGCACTCAAGGTCATGTTGCGGAGGAGCCACTGTTGGGATCGGCTTCCGTTGCAGTCCTTCATGGTAGGTACCATTTTGTCATCTTCTGAAGGCTCATCAAGACACTGGTTGCTGTTGATGTGTCTCAATGTGAGTTTCTGAAAAATGTAAGCAGGGCACATTTATTTTAACATGTATGTAAGTATGGGTCCGACAATCATCAAACAAACCTCAGCAGGACAGATTTAGCACTAATAATATCACACTTTTCCTTAGTTTACAATACAGGCTAACCTTGCGGCATATATTTTATAAAGGAAACTATACCCACAGGATGAAATTTGATTAATACTCTGGATTAGAGGCTTCCAATGTGTGTGTGTATGTGTGTGTGATGGACCCCATGGGCAGTCTGGTGAAGACAATGAAACCATTCTCAGAATAATTTTAATTATTTATTTAAGATGCAAAAAATAAATTCATAAGAATATAAAGGAAACTAATTATATGGAAATTCAGTCATCAGCATATTAAAAATAAGTTAATAATATAGATCAGGTTAAAAAATACTGATCCAGATTTTATATATATATATATATATATATATATATATATATATATATAGAGAGAGAGAGAGAGAGAGAGAGAGAGAGAGAGAGAGAGAGAGAGAGAGAGAGAGAGAGAGAGAAGTTTGATATGCTGGATAGAATACAATACAGGAGACAGAAGATTTGGGTTCAAGTCTTCTCTCTCATACTTATTGCTTGTATGATTGATTGTAAGCAAGTTGCCTGACTTCTCTGAATCTCAGATTTATCACCTGTAAAAAAGGCAAATAATAATTGTACTACCTCACAGTGTCAAAAAGAAAGTGATACGTGATGTATATCATTATAATTATTAGCTGCATGACTTTGGGAATGTCAGTTGATGTCTCACATTCCCGTCCTGTAAAATAAGGCCTGTTCTATTTACCTCAAATAGTTGTGCCAAGATTAAACTAAAATAAAACATGTGGTTGTATGTTGTAAAACCCTGAAAGACTATATAAATGAAAGTGCGATCGATGAAATTGAGTGGTAGGGCTTTATCATTATTTTTTCACTTTCATTTATATATTGTGTATTTAAAATATTAGTATATTCAACAAAGATTAAAATTAGAATTATCCAGGATGTGAGCAACATTGTAAAAGGTGCATAAGGGAATTTTAACTGAGCACTATATCACAAACTGACTCAAGGAGATGATTTTCTTATGTATTAGTTGTTTAGTATCCTTTTGGTCAACAGGCAAAATGTATCACTAGATTATACAGTAGGTACAAGATATTCCTAGTGGAGAGAGTATTTGATAAATAGGAGGCAAATACAAGCGCCTACACAAAGAGTAGTTGACACTGACAGCAGAAGGTTGCTGCAGCTAAGCTAGTTGCAGATAAACTAGCTCAGTATATCTGATACACACCATCACAGAGAGGAGTAGTTTTCAACTCTGGAGTTAAGATTCATTTGGATGATGGAAATGCAAAAAGATCCAACATTGACTTCAAGATTCAAACTCAGTAAGAAATTAGGAGAATATAACTCTGAGCCCAAAGTCAGAAGACCTGAGTTCAGATTCAGCCTCAGACACATGCTGGTTGTGTTACTTTGGACAAGTCACTTTACCTCTATTTGCCTCAGTTTCCTCAGCACATGTTTCCCATGGTGTTGTTGAGAAGATCAAATGAGATAATATTTGTATAAAGTGCTTAGAATAGTGCCTGGCACATAGAAGGCACCATGTAAATGCCAGATATTATCATTGTTATTATTATCATTATTAATACATTCTGTTTTATTCTGTTATAATATCAAGGATCTTAAAACATGGTACCTGTATCAATGGATATTAGTGTTTTTTGTTATACCATATAAACGGACATAAAAGCTATATGATCTAAAAACATATGTTCTTTTACATTTGTACTTCCTTTTCCTATTTTAATCTTCAGTAAGGGCCTTGGATTGAACATTGAAATATAGCCCTTTTATTCTTTCAGACTTTACTCCCTATTCCCATTTTTTTCTTCAAACAGTACCTGCTATTGAAGAAGAATCCTTAGACACATTTTCAACCTAAGACTTGGCTTAATGATTTATATGTGTATGTATGTGTGTGTTTGTATACATACATAGATATATATTGTATACACACATACTTATACACACACATATGTGTGTGTGTGTAGGGCTTTACTTCAGCCTAGTTTCATGGATAGTACCTAATATTCCGTTGTAATTCAGTACACATAAGCTGCTAATACTTATTTTATGTATTATCTACCCAGTCAAAGATAGGAAATTATACTAGAGGTATCAAAACTAACCATTTATCATTCATGCAAGTTTCATCTTGGATATGGTGGTGGTTGTTTTTATAAATTGCACACGAAGAAGTGAAGACTAATTCACTCATTTTCTTACATTTTCAATTCTCTATTCCCTGTACTAGAAGAATACAGCTTTATCTCTTAGGTAGATTTGCCAAATAGTATAAACACTGCACTGGCTTATTGGCAACTAGCATATGTCACAGTCATATTTTTCTATTTTCATTAGTCTATTCCTGTTCAGACTTTTCTTCCACCTCCAGGGCCTGGTAGCTGATGAAATAGTATCTCCACAGCATATGGGAGTAGATGGGGTAGGAGACCTATCTTGTGGCAAAAGGGGCATAAATGTTGCTGTGGAATGGAATGCAGTATTTCTACAGGATATGGTTGCAGATAGGACACTTCACAGAGTGTTGCTCTGCTGCTCTGTGGGTCACTGTCCTAATGAAAGACTTGCTAGTCTTTAAGAGAGTTTAACTCTCAAAGACTAAAACAAGAGCTCTCTTGTTCTGTCAGGAAAAAAAAGACTTTTGGAATTGCCCTAGACCAAACTCTTCTAAGGAATGGAAATTCACCCATTTCCCTAGAACTCTTCAGAACAGATGGGGATATAATGGAAAATGGAGGAAAATGAAAATGGGGAGAGAAATATACATTGTAGGTCAAAAACAAAAGATTAAAAGAAGGCCTTTAGGGGAGTTTGGGCAACAAGACAGAGATTAGGTGAGTACTTGGTAATGTTTTATACATCTAGAAGTTATTCAAATATCTTGGAACAAGGAAAAAAACAGGGCATATTACATATGCCCATCATTTCAGTGTTCTTTAATAAAAGCAATGAGTTATTATTAAAGGTCTTTGGTTTGTGTTGCCAAAAGCATTTCTCTTGTATATGCCTTAGATAATTTGTAAAAAGCTAGGAAAACTAAGCGGCTTGAGAAGCTATTCTACTGACACCTTACATTAATGTATCTTTAATTCAGTAAATAATTTATTTTTATAGCTAGCCTTTCACTGGTCTTTTCAATTATCCCCAGAAATATCTTCCATTATCCTTTATTGGTAAAATCAAATAGCCTTTTAGTTTGATCAACTAACCATTAGTTCAGGTTAAAACATTTATTTTACACAATCCAGTCCAGAGATATTTCTTTGATGCTAAAGATCTCCTTTATCCAAAATGTGCTTTACTATTTTCTGTCATCTCTTAGAATCCCTAGTTTCTTTTAAGACTCAATTCAAGTTCTACTTTCTAATCAGTCCTCAACTCCTCAAGTTTTTAATTCTCTTTGCCCTGAAAGTACTTTTTATTTACTGATCAGTATCTATATTGGATGCTCCAAGGAGATTATAAGCACCTTGAAGACAATGATTATTTCACTTTATTCTTGTTTTCTTAGTGCCTATTACAGAAATTTGCAGTAGAATAGCCATTTAATAAATGTGGCTTTTATTGTCTACTGTGTATTGAAATGTTTATTTTTAATTAATTAAATATTTTATTTCCCCTAAATACGTGTAAAATTAATTTTGAATATCCATGTCTTAAAATTTTAAATTCCAAATTCTCTCCTTTTCTCCCTTCCCATGTCCCTTATTGAAAAGGCAAGAAATTTGACATAGGTTAAACATGTGCAGTCATGCAAAGCATATTTCTATTTAATAAATATCTTCCAATCAAAAGAACCGAATATGTTCCTCAGGGAAAATTAAAAATAAAATGTAACTAAATCTCTCTCCTAAAGACTGTACATTAGTAGATTATCCTAAGTCTATGAATAAAGTACTGGAATCAAAAGAATCTCCTGCAAAAATAACATTGTTGTGCAATTACTATCAATCAACATAATCTAGGTATAGGGAATCAGAGCAGTTGTTCAAGTGAACCAAACATCATAACCAGGAATGGTCGTTTTTTAAAAAGTTACTAATAAATCACAGAATAGCAACTATACAATTCAGAGTAAAATGTTTCATCAGATTCTTTCACATCACTTTTTATTGTAGTTTTCTATGTTAGCTAATGAATCACAAAAGAATAGAGAGAAATTATTCATCTTCTGTTTCCAGAATATAGAAAAATACAATCTAGCCAAACTTTCATTATGTACACAATCCAAATATTCATATTTTAAAATAGGTATTATAAACTCTCCATAATCTATGAGTTTGCATGAAAACAAGCAATTACTTCCCAAACAAAAACACTCTTCATTGGACAAAATCATCTCTTATGTATTTTCTCTTCATATTAAAATGTAAGCATTATAAAGATAGGGGGTATCTTCCTTTTGGTTTTGTATTCTTAAAAGTTAGCACGGTGTTTGGCATATATACACATATATGTGTACATATGTATGTATATGTGTATACATATATACATATCTATATATAAGTTAATAAATGCTTTTTAAAGTATTCATTCATTTTTCTGGAAAGTAAATGAAAAAATACAATTATTATAATGTTTCCAAATGTCCAGATGTTTAGGGTTACATAGAAAAACATTAAGAAATTTAATTGAACTTTTTTATTTTGACATGAAATTTTGTTTTGATAGAGACAGGAGATAGCATGGTGCAGTGCAGGGGTGTCAAACTCAAATACATTTGGGATGTTGGCCTCATGTTGACTTAGAAAACAACAAATTAACATTATCTACTTTAATCTTATGTTTATTTGTTTTGTTAAATATTTTCAAATTACATTTTAATCTGCAGGCAGAACTGGGAGTTTTGAAAACTACATATGAGTTTGACAACTCTGATGTAGTAGGTGACC